AGAAGTTTGACACCACCTGACTTCAAGACTTATTGTAAAACCACAGCAACCAAGACAGTGTGGTATTTGCAAAAGAAGACATATTAATGGAATCAAATAGGGATCCATAAATAGGTCCACATAAATATAGTCAAGTGATCTTTGACAAGGGAGCAAAGCCAATGCAATGGAGGAAAGATGGTCTTTCCAACAAATGGTGCTAGAATAACTAGAAACCAACATTCAAAAATAAGTATAGATTAATACTCTTCACAAAAATTAAGTTAATTACAGATCTAAATATGAAATGCAAAGTTATGAAGTTCCTAGAAGATAATATAGGAGAAAAATCAAGATGACCTTAGGTATAGTAGTGCTTTTTTTTTGGGGGGGGGGGGGGGCAATAACGTCAAAGGCATGACCTGTGAAAGAAACAATTGATAAGTTAGATTTCCTTAAAATGAAAACTAGTAGGAGAGTGAGGTGATTAGAGACAGAACGGGAGAAGATATTTGCAAAGATATGTCTGGTGAAGTTCTATTATCCAAAATTAACAACAATAACAATAACAACTCTTAAAACTTATCAAAAAGAAAACTAAAAACCTGATTTAAAAGTTGACAAAGACTTGAACAGATACCTCTCCAGAGACGATATGTAGATGACAAGGATATAAAAAGATGTTCAATATCGTGTGTGTTAGCTTTTTGTTACAGTGACCAAAATAACCAGAAAAGAACAACTTAGAGGAGGAAAAGTTTATTTGGGCTCACGGTTTTACAAGTTCAGTCCATGGCTGGCTGACTTCAGGGCTGTGGGTCTGCAGTGAGACAGAAAGATATAGTGAAGGAAAGCTATTCATTGGGTAACAGCCTGGAAGGAGAGAGAGAGGGGGAGGCAGAGGGAGGGAAGGGGCCACAGGAAGATGAACCCCACCAGGGTGCATCTCCAATGATGTATCTCTTCCAGCCACATCCATCTACATACAGTTAACACCCAGTTAGTCCAAATTCAAATGTACTGAGTAGGTTACAGTGCTCGTAATCTAATCATTTTACCTCTGAATATCCCTGCATCAACCCAGGAGCTTTAGGGGGAACACCTCATATCTAAACCATAACATTCAACCTCTGGCCCCTAAAACTCCTGCTTGTAACAGTGCAAAATGCATTTAGTCCATCTCCAAGAGTCCCCATAATATTTTTAAAATACTTTTAGTTGTTAATGGATCTTTATTTTATTCATTTATTTATAGGCGGTGCTGACAATTGAACCCAGTGTCTCACACATGTGAGGCAAGTGCTCTACCACTGAGCCACAACCCCAGTACCCCCATAGTCTTAATAGTTCCAGCATTGCCCCAAAGTCCAAGTCCAAATTCTCCTCTCTAGTCAAGACAAATTCTTAGCTGTGAGCCCCTTTAAAAAAATCAAAAGCAAATTGCAAATATCAAATATATAATGGTGCAATAAACATTCCTATTCCAAAAATGAGGAATGGGGCATAGAAAGGAAAGGACTTCAACAAGACAAAAACCCCAGCTGGGCAAATAAGCCCTGTAGCTCCGTATCTGGCATCTGGGGCAAATGGCGGTGAGATGTGATATCTTGTCAAGTTTGGTCTTGCCAGTCACAGCCCACATGGCCTCTCTGTTAGCCTGGCTGTCAGTAGCCCGCAAGTTTTCTTGCAGATGTTCCACATTCCTAGCATCTCTTAATCCCTGGGGTCTCCCTTCCAGCTTTGGCTTCACCTTCACACATCACTTTCTCAGAGGCAACTGACAGGAATACTGACCCGGTTACATATTGCCTTCCTTTGAAATCTCAATGGAAGCCTCCATGACCCCTTAACTCCAGTATCCAGCATTATTGCAGAACCAGTACCAAGTGGATTCCACCAAGGTCTGATGCTATCTTGAGCAGTTGGTGGCTCCCCTTGAATCTTGGTTGTAGCAGCTTCTGAGTACCTGGGTGGCTGAGTACAGTGAACTGAATCCTGAGGAAAGAGCTTTCTAGGCATGGCTTGTAAGCAGGGTGCCCCTAGAGTTTCTTCTCAAATGAATTTTTAGTTTTATACTCTTGAGCTTGCAGTGGGGTTGGGCTTGTTAATTCTTGGATGACCTTAAGATATCTTTCTTGTTATCTCTGTAAAAGCATTAACTTCTCTTTAGTGGTGGTTATATCTTCAACAATCACATGTTGGCTCCAATTTTATAGCACTTTTCTGGCCAAACTGCAAGTTTTAAGAATCCTCCTTCTCTTCTGCTCCCAATTCTCACTGTAAACCTGGCTAAACCATGTTACCCATGCCACAGATGCTGTGCTATTTTGTAGTTTTCTCTGTCAGATTAACCACCCTTAAATTTGGCCTCAGACAAAGTCTTAGAACATGGACAAAATGTAGGTAAGTTCTTTGCCAGAATGTAACATGAGTAGCCTCTAATCCAGTTCCCAATAGAATCCCATTCTCCTCAGAAACCTCATGAGCACAGGCTGTACTGTCTGCATATCGGTCAGGTTTCTCATCTTCTGAGCTCCCACCAGAATTATCCATTAAGCTCCACTTACAACATTTTTAATCTTCTCTAGTATGCATCTCTAAACTTTTCCATGTGCCTCCTGCAAACCTGCTTCAAAGGCTTCTGAACCACATAGTTAGGTTACTTACAGCAATATCTCCACTCCTGGTACCAATTTCTTTGTTAGTCAGGTTTTTGTCATTGTGACCAAAATACTAGACAAGATCAACTTAGAGGAGGAAGAGTTTATTTGGGCTCATGGTTTCAGAGGTTCCGTTCATGGTCAGACAGTTTCATTGCTGTGGGCCTGAGGTGAGACAAGAATATCATGGCAGAAGGGTGTAGTGGAGGAAAACTTTCACTGTATAGCATCCAGGAAGCAGGGCAGGGGGTGGGGTGGAGACTACAGGGAAGATGAACCCTTCCAGGGCATACCTGCTGTGACCCACCTCCTCCAGCCACACTCCACCTGCCTAGTGTTCCACCCAGTTAGTCCATTTAAAGTAGGATGGGCTGATTAGGTTATAGTTCTCCTAATGTGATCATTTATCTCTGAATATTCCTGCATCAACACAGGAGCTTTCAGGGGACACCTCATATTCGAACCCTAACAATATGTCACTAGGTAACTATAAATTAAAGCCACAAGATATCACTGCCCACCTACTAGAATGATCAAGATCCAAATAATATGTTAAATACACTCTACTACTATGTATATCTAAAAAGAACAAGTAAAAAAAATAAAAACATCATTGCCCCCACCAAAAAAAAAAAAAAAATCCAAAACATTGACAAAGCCAAATGTTGAGGAAGTGGGTCAGCAGGAATTCTGATTCTTTGCTGATGGGAACCCTTTCATCAATTTGGTTGTTTGTTAAAATACTAGATGTACTTATCAGATGACTCAGCAGTTATCCTCCTTGGTATTTACCTACAGGAGTTGAAAACTTATGTCTATACAAAAACCTGCACACAGAATTTATAACAGCTGATGATAAGATGTCAATGAAGCTTCCTCAGTTACAACCAACACACAACTCTGGTGGGAGATGTAGAAAATGAAGAGCTGTGTATGAGTGGGTACAGGGTTATGGGAAATCTGTACCTTCCTCTTACTTTTATTGTTAACCTAAAACTTCTCTTAAAAAGTAAATCTATTTTTTAAAATGGTGCCAGAACTATTGGGTATCCACATTAAAAAGATCAAAGCCAAAAACCAAACAAACAAACAAAAGAAACCCTGCTACCACTAAACAAAACTGAATCTCAGCTTTTATCTCACATTATATACAAAATTAATTAAAAATGTATATTTAAACATAAAAGCTAACACTGTATTTTCTGAAGAAGATAATAGAAAAAAGCCTTTATTATTTTGAGACATAGATTTCTCCTGTCAGCATATTAGACTTGATCAAAATTTTCTACCTTTGGGTTTTGAAAAAAAAAAAAAGAGAGAGACTAAAAGGGCATGGATTGGGAGAAATATTCACATTATATATACTTGACAGAAGACTTGCATTTATAACATACAAAAAAAGTCTTTAATAAGGCAACTACTACTAAAATGGGCAAAAGATTTGAACCTGAACTTTACAAAAGAAAATATACATAGAGGTGCATGAAAAGATACTTAAAATCACTAATCATTAGGGAAATGCAAATGAGGATATTAAGCACACAAGAAGATAACACTTGGCACTCACTAGAATGTCAAAAATTTAAAAGACTGCCAATATTCAAAGTGTGAAGATATGGAACACCTCTCCAGAACTCTCAGACATCACTGCTGGAAGTGACAGACGCAGAGAATGAACTCTGGACAACACTTTGGCAGTTTCTTTTGAAGATAAATACGCACTCTCTATATGATCCAGCAATTCTACTCCTAGGTATTTACCAGAGAGTACTAAAACGCACACAGACCAACTTGTACATGAATGTTCCAAGCAGCATTGTTTGAAATAGTCAAAAACTGGAAAAAATCCTGGTGTTATCAACACACATTATATTTAAACAAATTTTACATACCCATACAATACATAGTCAGAAATAAAAATGAAGTATCAATATACACAACATGGGTGAATCTTAGAATAATTGTTGTGAATGAAAGAAGCCAGATAAAACGGATAATTACATATTGTAGGGTTCCATTTACGTAACATTCTAGAAAATGCAAGCTTATTTGTAATGACAGGAGGCATATCAATGGTTTAGAGAGGAAGGATGCAGGAAGAGAAGGAGGGATTGCAGTGAGGTGGGAAGGGACATTCGGGTGTTCCACATCTTAATTGTGGTGATGGCTTCCCGGGGAGATATATATGCTAAAATATTAACTTTGTGAAATTTATTGTATGTAAATTCACTAAATTTCTTTAATAAGAGAAAAAGTCAGCTATTCTTTAAAAATAGAAAAAGGCCCCTGGTGGAGGCCTTTTCTCTTCAATTAACATTTTTCTAGTGTGTTCACTGTCTAACTCTGTTTGTGTACTTTCAGATGATTCATTCCGGGCTCGTAGTGCCAGTAATGTTCCACCTTCCTATTCTCCCAATCCTGCCTTACCAAGTACCTCCCGTGGGACGAGTAGCACAGCTGATTCGAAGAACAGTGGGAATAAAGATCCACAACCCCGGAAGGCCGTGTCGTAAGTCGTCAGTGACACATGCTGAGTTTATTGTCCCACCGTGTCCTCAGTTCATTTTCCTTCTTACTTACATACTTTCCAGAGCATAGGAAATGTCCATAACGAGGAAGTGTTTCAAGCCAAAGTGGATTATAATCGTGGGAGACTTGGGTGTTAGGTGGTGTGCACGAGTAAGCAGTATATGGCAAATACCTTGTAACCTTAGGAAATCAACAAAGACCATTTAAATGACCTCCGCTAGCATCTGAAATCTGCTTTTCTTCTATAAAAGTTTTACTTTCTGGGGAATTCTCTTTGAGAAGGTGTTAGGTGGTATAGTTGTATCCCTTTAAACAGCCAGCTGTGGGATCTAATCCCTCATTGCTCAGAAAGATGGGTATAACAAATGCCACATAAGAAATACTATTCTAGCACAAACCAGAGTTGCAATTTAGAAAACTGACATTTGCAGACTACACTTGGGCCTTGGAGTTATAAAGGGCCTCTCTCTATTCTCCTTGCCCCATGCTGTTTTACATGCTTTTGCACCTTGTTTGAATTGCTGAAGCCTGTGTTTCTTTTAGCTTAAACATTCAAGAGTGTAGTCTCATAAAAGTCATCATAAGAGACCATAGCAAGGTACACATGGTTCAGCCGGGCTGCAGGTTTGCTCTTTCAAATAGAACTCCCAATCCTTCTGATTAGAACAGAACTTAGACAAGATTCAGACTTTCTTTTAAATTCATGGACAGTTTCAAAGTAAGTTTTTCATGTGAATCCTTTTATAAAAACTCCATGCCAGAGTTCTTTTTTAGGACTTAAATTATATTATAATTCATTTTAAATTTTATTTGGCCAGTGGGTCTATACCCAACTTCATTCAGAATTTAGAAATCAGTTTATTCAATGGAGCTCACAGAAGGGTTAGGACTCTATACTACAAAAAGTAATAGAGATAGGAAAAACTGATATTGATATTACAGATTAGCATTGTTAATGTGGAGAACACTCTGACTAATGAAAATACTCCACCCATATGTTACTGCCCTGGTGATGAACCTGTGGGAGTTCCATTTAGAAGCTATGCAAGCAGAGGTGGAACCGGGCGGTGAGCTCCTGTCAAGCAAGCAGCAGGGCTCAGTTCAGCCCCGTGCTTCTCCAGCCTCACTGTTGTCTGTGCTGACTCACGCTTGGTCTTGAAAGGGGCCTTTCTGTTCTGCATCCTGACATCCTGCCTCTCTCTCCACCTAGGCTCTCTTCTCACAGGGTTGCCCTGGACTTCTCCTATGTGGACATATTTAGTAATGGCACATTCCCTTCTCCACTTATTTTTCTGAATGTCATCAGCATTTTTTAAAAGTAAAGACCATTGAAATATATTCATGCCAGCCTTCCTTTACTTCAGATTCCTATATCTGATCTTTCATTGTCCAGCTCATTTTTCCTTTTTATATAATTGGTGGTTACAAAAATGAGTCCAAAAACAACGACTGATAAGAAATCACATCAGGCTTGTTTCTTCTTTTCTGAATGTTCTGAAGAGAGGAATGCTGGGCTCCACAGCTGTTTCCTGACCACACGCCTGGATGTCCAAGTGCCTGGCCACACTTCCTATAACGGGGGTCTCGGGTGGACTATCAGAAGTGTGTACTACCACTTAGCTGGGACAGGTGGCTGATGTCTCCCCTGCTCTCACTTCTGTGAAGTATTATTCACATTTCAGAACCATGTCATATCTAAATGAAAATATGTCCTTTTTATTTAAAATAAGTCTATGAAGTGATTTCAGAAAGTATTAATTATTTGAATTCTTATTTCTCAAGAAAATTCTATGCAGAACATTCCCTCACTTTATAAAATGACACATCTGGTATTCAGAAATAGTGGTGACTTGAAGTAAAGGTGTGCATTGTGTCTTTTAAGGTCAGTTTATATATTTAGTTCTGTGTAATTTCCACTGTGGTTATATAGAATTTAAAAAGAAGCAAAACTTGTATGAACTAAATTGAATGCTATGTTAAGTGCATACTTGGTTTTTTGGTCATTAAAGGTAATTCTGAGTAATTTTTAAGGTGTGTTTTATCTTTTCCCTTAATCAGGTTCTCATATATTAGGTTTATCTAAAGTAGCTTTTCTTTATTTACTTAGTAAGCATTATATGGATAAAATTTTTCATGTTTTCTTTTCTCCTCTCCCTGTCTTCATTCCTTCCTTCCCTCCTTCCAAACCCTCTTTTCCTTCAGGAAATCTAGAAAATCCAACCCTTAAATCAACTGCATAATGAAGGAGGCAGACAGAGACCGCTAGAGATGACATGATCAGTGGGCAAAAGCAGAAGCAGTGGCTGGGACCTCTTTAAGGTGTTTTTGTTTTTGTTTCTGTTTTTAATGAAATGGGAAAAGACCCAGAATGGCAGCTGATATTAAACTTACCATATTTGGAATTAGATCCCTAGGAGGTATAATTAATAGATATTTCTTAAATAATAATAATAATGTGGTTACAGAATTCCAATGTAACAGTGCAATGTAATGAAAAATAACTGGGCGTGTGCGTTAGTGACTGCTGCGGTGAGACAAGCCTGCCTTTCTTTGTGCAGGAACCCAGCTCTCCCATTGCCCTAGAGGGTAGTGTTCAGATAGGATAAGACAGTGCAAGTCAGCGGACCTTGCCCTTGCTGGGTCGTCACAGGGACAGGAGCTTGGGAAGTAAGGAAGTTACTGCACCCTCTTATGGCTCTCCAAGCCAGGATGAAAGGACAAACTGAACAGCTGTCCATAGTTTTATCAGTTCCATGATTCCAGGACATCCCCACATTTCAATTTGGCATTGAAAATTCTATAAAGACTTCTGATAACTGTGAGCTACAGATACCTTTAAAATAGTAGATTGATGATTTCCTTTATTTCCTAGAATTTCTTTTATACATACTTTGTTTACTTTTTAGATTGTATTAGTCCTTACTTCATTTAAAATGATGAATCTGGTTTGAATCAGCTGTTATTCCAAGCTATCATGCTTAAGCTTTGTCAACAGCATTTATTTGTCCTATTATTTCATCAGAGTTGCCTGTGGAACGTGTACAGTTCTTAAGTTTAAAACGTCAGTTCTTGAGATATACTGTATGAAGCTATTGTCAGCTTCTCTATTTCAAATGCAATCAGCATATAACTATATTATATTAGAAAATATTTGTTTTTTAAAATATATTGATGTATGATAAAGATGATCTAATTTGTGAATGCATATGCGTGTGTGGTTACTTTTTATAATGTGAAATGGATAATGAATTGACTCAAAATAAAACATAGGTTAATGAGGTGCCTGTGTTTGTGAAAAAAGTTTTGAATACTTTCCTGCAATTTTTATTCTATCATTAAAGAGCAAGACAGTTCATTTTCAAGTAATGAATAATAGAAGCACATCCATGTCAACTGTAAATTACTCAGGGGACAGTCATTCAGTGTGAGTCTTTTTCGTGCCATTTGTTTCCTTTCCTTCCACAAAGCCTCTTTTTGTCCATGTTTAGTGATGTGTTATGTCCTGCATCAGAGGATAAAACAGAACTGTTTAACTGTTCATTTTGTCAGCATAGTTCCAGTAAGTGTGAGAAATTTGACAACACTAATTAAAGGAATTCAGTATGGTTTTTGTGGATTTCATTTAACTATTTTAATTATGTCTCCTACTATCATCAATAATGTGGATTGAACATTTATGATCTAGAGACTTTGTGGTGCATAATGGTACATCAAGGCTGCATCCCTTTTTCCAGTACTTCAATTCAGTCACCTTGACTCTGTTACTTTAAATAAAATGGATAATTTCAATTTACTTGTTAAAAAATAATTTAGGTGAGTTATTAGATTTTTTTCCCCATCATGGATGTGGGAAAAGGGGAAAGTGAAGAGAAAAATCACCACTACTTGTAAAGTTTAAGAATGTAGAGAAGTTAATTGCAGTCTTGCTCCTAGGTATTAAATTCTGAGTTATAACAGTCAATCATGCAGGGTGTGGTGGCACAGACCTGTAATCCCAGTGGCTTGGGAAGCTGAGGCAGGAGGATTGTGAGTTCAAATTCAGCTTCAACAACTTAGCGAGGCCTTAAGCAACTTAGCAAGACACTGTCTCAAAATTAAAAAAAAAAAAAAAAAGTTGGGATGGGGCTGGGGATGTGTCTCAATTGTTAAGAGCCCCTGGGTTCAATCCCTGGTACCAAATAAACAAAAACAGTCAATCAGTCAATCACAATTACTTTTGGAAAAAATTTTTTTCATTAACATGATAAACTTCTAAAGTTTTTGAAATTTTGTCACATTTATACTTAAAAGCACAGATTGTAGACACAATAAAAAATGTCAGTAGTTATGAATATCCACACAGATCTCCACTGACACCAGAAACAAGACCAATGTTCTTATAAAAGTTATGTTTAACAACTTACTAGGTAGATCCCGTCACCAGGTGTAAAGAAAGCATTCTCTCCTCCTCTGGCCCTTGACAGTGACCCTTCCTGTACTGGCTCAGCCCTGTTTATTTCAGAGCATTATGTTCTCAAAGACCTTTTCTCATTTTCATCTCTTAAAAGTGAGAAATTTTCCTGAAATCTCTGCTATTTTTACAGATCATACTTCGACACAAATAAACCTGACTAACTGAACATAAACAAGTCGCTTAGGAGTGGCTCTTGGAGTTAGCCATCTTTCTTTGTCTTTCTTCCTAGGCCCTGGAATTTCCTGGTCCTAAAGGAATGTCAGGACTTGGACTGCAGGAATGAATTAATGTTCATATTTGAGAATGATGAAGTCAGTCTTTAAACTGCCTCTTAATATTATCACCTATTCAGCTTTACTCTGATTTATATTAATAATTGAAAGAACTAACCAGTAATTTTAGGTATGTTTCAGCATTATGTAGAAATAGATAGAAATTAATTAGGCATTTGTCGACACAGTTGACATTCCAAAATTAGTTAGCTCTGTGGTCATTCCTAGTTCCTTGTTTCTATGTCAGAAGATTACTTCTGGAGGAAGCTTCAGGGATATTTTCTGTTTTCTTTTTTATTTAGAGGAAAACTTTGATTTGAGCACGCCCTGACTATTTAGCAGGATCCCATCAGATGCTTTAGGTAGAGGGAAGGAGGAGTAGAAAGGCTTGTGATGGAATGCAGGAGAGGGGGGCTTCTGACTCGCCGTTGCTGCACAGTGGCCTGATACAGGTCTTTCCCTTCCAGAGATACAAGGTGTGGCTTATTCACTAGATGCAGAGGCACTGGGCCAAAGGCCCCCATGCTGAAAGGGCCCACAAAGATGCTTTACTTCTAGCAATAAGCAAAATATATGCTTTGATAGAATGGTAAATATAATCCAGAATATGTTCATCTTCATACCAATGCAGTTATAAAGTATAATTTTAATATGTATATGTATATATGAATACATGTGGGGAGATATATGTACACACACACACACACATTCTTATTTTTCCCCCTTTCTTATCAAGGGGCCCATGAAGGCAAAAATGCCTGGTGCCCATGAAAGTGACAATGTGACCCTGTTTGTGGATCCCTGTTTCTTTGTGAAATGAAGGTGTTGTGCTGGACTTATTTGTACCAGAAAGGAGTCCAGAGAGAAACAGGGCTCAAGGAGATTATGTACATGTGTTTCCCCTAAGGCTTTAATCTCAAAATAGTGTTGTGACCATAACGACGTTCTTAAAGTTCAGTGTGTGAGCAACAGAGAAAGGTAGATAGCCCCGGCTCTCCAACGCAGCACAGGTTGAAAACACTGGACAAATTGCAGCAACGTCTTAAAATGTTATCAATTTTATCCTTGTGTTCATCTGAGAACAGCCTGAAAAAGCTGAGGACACAGGGGACACACACTGTGCCATCCAGTGCTGATGTCCCATGTGGGTTCAGATGCCTGATTGAGCACCTGCTGTCACACTGAGAGCTCATGCCAGTTGTGGGTCACAGGAGATTGGATTCACCACCCTGCAGAAATAGGAGCACCCTCGAGGTTTCCTTGTAGACCCTCAGGTGGAATGGCCGGGGCACCTTGGTGACGGGAGGCAGGGAATACAGTGATTTCTGTCAGGGTTCCTGTCACCGCCTCAGTTCCTTTCTCATCAACTTCAATCACTGATTGAAAAAACCCAGAAAAGGGAATAGTGTGGAAGACCATTCATATGGCAGCAGAGAGAGGGAATGAATTGAGCCCTTAAAATTTTTGATGGTGGTCCTACCCACTTGGCCACACTCCTGGGATTTAGTGGTACAGGGCCCATCTATGTCAGGAGTCACAGTCTGGGGATGTACCAGGGACTCCCTTAGAAACCTAAGAGGGGTTTTTCCAGGAGACCTCAGGAACCCAGTGTGATTGTGTAATATGTAAAATAAGTTCTGTGATTGGAGCCAGGGACTCTGACTGGCACATTTATGCATACGTATCTAATATTTGTGGAGCCCCCATATTCTGTGCTATTGATTCTTGTGTTGAACCAGTGCCCGTGGAAGGCTTTGAGCTGCCTGGGTCTCCTGCATCCTTTGACTTTCTCTCTGGCAGGGTGGGGACAGGGTGTGGTGAGTCTCTGGTGGGAGCTCCCCAGTGCCTGGTCCTGTTCTGGGGCACTCCCTGGGGCAAGCCTGAGGTCCTTGAAACCTTCCTAAACTCTGCTTATACTCAGGCTACCTGCCTGTTTATGAAAGTCTTTTGTCCAGGAACCTAATGGAATATGAATGATGTGTCTTTATAATTATTTTATCAACCTAATAATTCCTAGAAATTCTCTATTTTCTGGGGTGAAAGTTTACTCCCAAGAGCAAACACAGGGTATTTAATAGTTTACAGTTTAAGCTTCATGGAGATGCCGTCCTTGTAAAACAGCACGTGTCTTCAATTTTCCTTGTGTTTCCAGCAGAATTGTCGAATTGTCTTGCCTTCCCTGGCACGCTAAGGCCTGATTGCAGGCCAGAGTTTTCTACTGAGTCCTGCAAAGGTGGATTCAATTTGTCCTCCCTCTTGGAGTTGAAAGTTACAATTGTATGAGAAAATATGAGCCAACTCCACAGCCAAGGAAGAAGGTGACGACGAGATGTGGCCGCCACGTGGAGATGTGTGGGGGCATTTTCTTTGTCATAAGGATCATGGGGACAGGGGAGGGCAGAGGGGGCTACTGCTGTCCTCAGTGAACACAGGCCCGGAAGGCCACCCAGTCCCCAACAAGGCACAGAACTGCTGTGGACCACAGGTGGTTCTGATTGTCCTCTGAACCAAGAGCACCTCCCCTGAGAAACGCCGATTGGCTGAGGGCATTCTGTGGACTGACTAAACCTGTTCTTAACAGTTTAGACATAAAAGTCGGGCCCAAAAAATAGGAGTTAGGGAGAAGCTACAGGTGTGTGTGTGTGTGTGTGTGTGTGTGTGTGTGTGTGTGTGTATGTATGTATTAAATAGCCATTTGTGGATCGGGCTGCTTCTCAAGGAAGGGATGAAATAAATCTCGGTCACAACACGAGACTGGCACCAGAGGGGTTTTCTAGAGGAGCTGTCCAAGGCAGGTGGGCGGCAGGGCCTTGTAAAGTCAGGGTTTCCTTCACCCTGAAGGGGGTGGGATTCCGTGGGCTCTTTGAGGATTCGACAGACTCGTGACTTTGCAAGCCAGTCCACGTCAGGGCTAGGTGGCTCCTCGAGCATCCAGAGGAAGGGGACAGGGCTCTGCTGAAGAGAGATGGGCAGAACAATCCACCCTAGATGTATGCTTCCCACATTTTCCCCCCATTTCACTAAAGGGTGGGTTGATCCTTCCAGTTGCTAAGGCTAAAAGCTACAATCACCTTTGACTGACAGATCTCTTCCTTTCTCTCACTCCCATCCAGTCCACTCAAGATTTTGCCAACTCTTGCTTCCTTAGGTAGATCCAGAATCCAACCGCTCCTTGTCACCACCACTGTCAACCCCACCATCCAAGCAGCAGCATCCATCGGGGTTTGACCTAACCTTGAACAGGTCTCCTGCTTTCATGCTCATCCCCCTGGTGTCTTCACCACGCAGGCCATCGCACCCCTTCCCAGACCCCCCAGGGCCCTTCCGTCTCCTCAGACAAAGCCCAAGTCTTTTCTGGGGCTTGCTTGGTGAGGTGGCCAGGCTCCCTGCTGCTCCTCAGCCGAGTGGGCACACTCCCATCCCAGAACGTTGTGCCCTGATGCGCTTCTCCATCAAGAGAGCCCACAACTCACCCTTTAGCTCAGATGTCGGCCTGACACTTCCTTGGGCCTTTCCTGAGCCCCTCTCCCTTGCTAATGCTCCTGGTCATCTTCCTGCCCTGGAAAACAAGCTCCTGGGCCAGGGACTTGGCCTCTTTTCTTCCCTGCTGCATCCCTAGCACTGGGCAGGGATCACAGTAGGAGGAGCCCTGTAAGTACTTGCTGAGTAAATGGCTGGATGAGCCAGGCCTGCCATCCATCGATCAATGCTGAGGGAGAGTGGGAAAGAAGGAGACAGCTGCCCCCGCCCTTGGGAGCTCAGAGCTCAAGGGGCAGACAGCCGGAGCCACTGTGCCTGGGATGAAACCGTGGTGAGCGTCACAAGGACAGATAGGCGGAGATTGTGCATGTTACATGTTCCTGAGCCATGTCTCCACCAGCTCTGTGGTCAGATCACCTTCCAGGGCCAGGTGGTCACCTGTGTTCCCCATGAGGACCACCAGCATGGTGGTGCTTCCTCAGTAGGGCAGTGGGAGGACATGGCAGTGAACCTTCTTATCAAAGGTGGAGGCAGACTTGCCTGCCCTGTACATCACTGGCACCTTGACTGCCTTGGACTTGTCCAGGTGGAAAGTGTCAGCTTTGGTGAAGGTGGGCCACATGCGGCCAGCCCCTTCCCTGAACGAGTAAGAAGAGAGTGCGTGCAGAAAGCAGCTTCTGCCAAAGCAAGGTTCTCACTCACAGAGGGAGGGCTCTGCTGCCTTCCGTCTAGCAAGGAGCCATCTCCCCTCATGAAGTTTGCCAGGGCCACAGCTCAGGCAGGCCAATGGATTACCCAGAGGCCTCAGCTCTTCTGGGCAAAATGCCCTCTACTCACAAGCCCAGCTGGAGTCACACACAGAAGCAAGGGAATGTCTCCTGGTCCCTGTTCCCCATCTTTCTGGACCTGGACAAAACTCACTCTCAGTCCTGGTTAGCTTAAGTCTGGAGAAGACTTGGGGCCTATGCATGGCCCTGGCCACCATCTGTGCAGCACCTCCATAAAGTGACAGCATTTCTGGCCCACGCACTCCCAGTACAGGGGAAGCCCCAGCTCCCCTCTGCACAACCCTCTGTACCCGAGCCTGTCCTGGGTCGTGGCCTGGCTGGCTGCAAAGTGGCTTCCCCTCCTGGGGCTTCGCTCATCTCCTGGGCTGGCTCTTTGTTCCCGTGCATCCACACCCTGCCCTATGCTCCCAGAGAACCTGGGATCAGGGTGTCAGGAGACCCTTGTTGTGCCTGGCCTGGGCATTTATGTGGACTGAGCAGGTTTGCCTCTCGGGCTCTGCTTTCAGCTCCTGTTCTGCCCTATGCGTTGGCAGCCAGGGAGACAAAGATTTCTAAAAGCCCATGTATATGTAGTGCCTCGCCTGTGCCAAGCACAGCTGGGCACTCATCATCTCATGTGCCCTCGTGACATCAGAGCAGGTGGGAGTGTCCCTGTTTTTCTATAATCAAAATTGGAGGACAGAGGTTTTGTCACTTACTCCAGGTCACAAAAGCAGAGAAGGAAGAAGAGAAAATACAACCCTAAATTTCTCGGGCACTGGGTAGAAGTGCTAGGAACACAGAAGTGGAGGCTATGGGAAGACCAGGGAGTGCCTGGACCTGTCTGGCACCGTCTGTCGCTGCTCCAGCTGGCTGTGCAGCCGGAGAGCAGGTTCACAGGAGCTCCTCCAGCAAGAGCCACTCCCTGAGCAGGACAGGGGAGCAAGGGACAGCTACGGGCGCTTTGGCTTGGGAGAGCAGAACATGACCCAAGTCCCTCAGAACAAGATGTGATCCACAAGAATCAATTTGGTTTGATATTAATCTCATCAAATAGCTGGGGAACTTCCCCCTGAGGCTCTTTGTGTAATATTCATGAGCCCCTGGGCCTGAGGGCACTGAAAATTCACAGGCATATGCTGTATCAAGGGGCCTCTTGGGTGAATTGGGGAAGGTCTCTTTGCCATCAAAATCCTTGTGGATGAAGGCAAAACTCCCCTGAGCAAGGCCCAGCTCTGGTGGAGAGGGTCTCTCTGATCAGCTTAAAGAGGGAGGCAGGAGCAGGGGCGTGGCATGGCTCAGGGTCTGCAGGTGGAGGCTGCTTTCCACCTGGCGCTCTCTGCCCTCTGACCCCAGCATCAGGCCTACCATGGCCAAGGGGAGTAGACCGTGTTGCCCTGTCCCTCATGGGCATCTTTCATAGGAGGTTGAGCCCAAAGTTAAAAATCTCACTAGACAGCTGCTGTCTGGTCATCAGCCAGGCCCCCTCTGTCCCCAGCTGATCCTCCCCATCAGTAGGAGCCTGTACTCCCCCAACCCTGAGTCTGGTTCTGAGGAGGCTGAGGCTCCAGAGTGTCCATCCCTTCCTGGGCTTCTGGTGACCCAGGACCAAGGGCCAGGCCGGGCACCAGCCTCATCTCCGCCAGGAGGACAGAGAGCAGGAGGCTCAGGGCCACCTCATGTGGTCAACTGTGGAGGCCAAGGACTGGTTCCCTTCCACAGAAGACTCCCTGCATAGGAAAGGGGCAGGGATTGCTTTAATGCCCCAAGTAACATGCCCTGAGTGAGGGGTGACCATCCCTCCAGCAGCCCCGCCTCCTCTGGGAGGATCCCACAGGGGCTCAACTCTGGCTCGGAGAGTCCTGCCCCGGGGAGCCCTGGAGCAGCCAGGGTTGCACCCATTCTCCAAGGAGGGAGCAAAATGTCAGCGCAGAACCCCTCCTGCTCCCCTCCCCTGCGGGGCCCTCGGGCAACTCCCATTCTCCAACTCCTTTTTCCTCTTCTTTCTCTTTCCTCCCCTTCTCCAGGGACAAGTGGCAGTATCAGAGCAGGGTCAGGTGCCATCAGGGGCCTCACAAACCCTTTACAGAATGGCTTCAGGCATGGCCTTTGATTGCTCAGCCATAAGGCAGCCAATGTACGCTGGGCCACGGGCACTTGGGATGTGACACATTTGGCTGGGGATTTGGAGGGTCTGAGAGGCCCTCGGGCAAGAAAAAGAGAAAGCCTGCCACGCTGGTTTTTGACGCACATCCTCCTGCACCTGCCCCCCGCCCTGCACAGTGCCCGCGGGTCTTCCCTGCTCCTCTAGCTGGACTCCCAGGATGGCGGGAGCTGGCACAGCCGGGGCTTTCAGCACTGGCCTGGGCTTAATCCCATCTCTCCCACAGCAGCCTGGGGTGTGCTGGCTTTGCTGCCCCAGTCTGGTACCTGTCCCCTACTACCACCTCTCCCAGGTCCCTCCGTGTTCCTTGGCACACAGGATGGCTCCTGGGCTGTGCCCCTGTCTGTGACCACATGTTCTGGTTCCTGGAGTTTGGCCATACACCAGGCCTGGCTGCACAGGCCACCAAGAGACCCCTCTCCCTCACCCTTGCTCTGTTCTGGGAGGAGGAGGGCCTGGATGGGGCAGGACGTCCCACCTTGGTGTGGGGTATCGCAGGCCTCTCGGCAGTTCCCTTCAGGGAGACCCTGGCTCTGGCCCAGGGTCCCTGTGTCAACGGGAAATGGCGAAGCAAACCTCCTAGGCTGCCGCACCCTGAGCCAAGCCAAGTCCAGCCCCGGGATTCCTCCTGCTGCCCCTCGCCCTGCTGACAGCACCACAGATCAGGGCCCCCTGCTGTGGCCTGAGCAGCGCTCACACTCAGTGAATTCTTCAGCCATGTTTTCCCAGGGTCATGCTTCAGAAGTCCTCTCTAATCCCCAGTAGCAAGCCCAGGATCGCAGGTCACGCCGTCATTGTCACTGTTGGGTAAGTCCCTCCTTCCGTGTGCCAATCCCCCCATTCCAGGCCTTCACTGTGGTTATGAACTGAATATTGTGCCCCTCCGAAATTCATAAGTCCAAGCCCTCACCCATGAAACGATGGTGTGAGGAAGTGGGGCCTTGGGAAGTGACTAGGTTGAGATGAGGTCATGGTGGGGGGCCCTGTGTTGGGATTAGTGTCCTCATGATAAGAGGACAAGGGCCGAGAACCTCCTCTCCCCATGAAGGACACAGCATGAAAGGTGAGCATCTGCAAACCAGGGAGAGGGTCCTTGACACAGTCCAACCGTGCTAGCACCCTGATCTTGGGCTCTGAGCCTCCAGGACTGAGACAAATATGGCTCAGGCCCCCAGCCCATGACATTTTGTTAGAGCCAGTCCCAACTAAGACAGCCACGTGACAATATTCAGCTCTACTTTGTAGGGTAAGCCCTCGGCAGGACACTCTTGAATTTGGTCAGCTCTCTCACGGTTACCAGGAAGCTAAGCCAGCACACCAGCTAGATGTCACCCCTTCCAAATGCTAAGTGTCACCATACTGCTCCTGAAGCTCCCCCTTCTCCTGCCGGGTGAGAGTCCTTGACAGCAGGTGGCTCCTGCACCTGCTAATGGAACCGTCCCCCCTGTCATCTCAGGCCTTTGTTCCTCAGCCAAATGGTGAGGACCTATGTGCTGGGCCACTCCTTGGACTAGGAGCCGGCAAGCTCAGTGAGGACACACCTTCCCAGATAGCATCTGATGGTAGGAGACCCCTGGCACCTAGAGCTGCAGTGACCGTCCACTCCCGACCCTGCCCAGGGGCAGGCCCTTTCTGCTGGGCCGTTAGTCAGGACCGATGAAAGGCCGAGACTCACACCACTCCCCGGGCCCCCTTCCTGCAGGGGAGCCCACCCCTTCCCCAGCCCCAGCCTGGATTCACAGTCCCTGTGGAGTCTAGGGTGAGGACTCTGCACTGCTTGGCCACTGACCCCTCACATTGGAGCCCACCCAGAGCTGACAAGGGCATCCCCCCTCCTCTCCCCTCGGGTTGGACTCTGAAGGTCTCTCTGTGGTCACTGCCTCATACCCGCCAAGGGCCCCTGGTGCCAGGGAAGATCGTCCAGAGGAACGATGAAGGCTTAGGTGTTGTAGCCAAAGCCTTCAGTAAATATTTGCTATTCCAAAGTGTGATCCCCTGGGGGCCGTTACTGATTAACATCCTGCCCAGAGGTGGCGGAGCTTCTGGAAACCACTCCCAGTTCCAGGGGCGAAACACATGGATTCACCTGGAACTTCTGCTTTTCAACTCAAGGCTGTGCCCTGGCCCTGAGCTCTGCCTGGACAGGGCCAGGGACTTTCTGTTGAGTGCCTCTGGGGACAGAACACCTGGTGAGGGAGAAGACAATGGTGGCCTCCCCTGCTTCAGCCAGGGTGGGGCAGGGGCTCTCCCACCCCAAGGACCCGCCAATCCAGTGTGAGACAGACAGCTAGATCACAAAGCCTATTTCAAGGTGAATTTACAACTCTCAGCATTGAAACTGGACAGACCCTCAAGCCCTCAATGTCAAGGCTGGTGGAGACCCTTTAAGCCCAACTTCTCAGACCTACTGACTTCCTTTTTTATAATATAAATATTTGGTTATGTGCTCCTTACCACCCTTGAATCAAAATTTATAATTAATATAACCTACCCACAAATTAAAAAAAAATAGTGTTCTAAGATGAAGGCAAAATACAATTATAAACCAGGCACAGTGGTGCACGCCTGTAATCCCAACAGCTCAGGAGGCTGAGGCAGGAGGATCGCAAGTTCAAGGCCAGCCTAAGCAACTTTGTGAGGCTCTAAGCAACATGCATTCACACACAACACACGCCCAATATATACACGAGTGCTCCTGTCCTGGACTATGCGCTGTTATTTTATTTATCTATTCTTTTCTTGTGTGCTTCTGGCCATTATTTATTTTTCATTGGAAGTTTTTAGTTTTTGAATTATCTCAAAAGAATAGCACCAAGAACACCTACATCCCTCTCTCCAGATTCGCTTTTTCCTTCTTCTCTTCTCTGTTTAGCCATCTCTACTTTGCACATCAGCACATACACTCACATATGCTATCTTTTTTTAAAGGGCTAATGACATCCTTTATTCAAGTCACATAGAAAAGCACATCCTATTAATGTAAAATGTTCATGCATGTAAGATGATCCGTCATTAGCAAATTTTAAAAGGCTTATATAGGCACACCAAATGTTTCAGTCAACTTTTTTTTTGTTGCTGTGACCAAAAGACCCACTTTAGAGGAGGGAACGTTTACTTGGTGCTCACAGTTCTGAAGTCCCAGTCCATAGACAACCGGCTGCGTGGCTCTGAGCCTGAGGTGAGGCAGAGCATCATGGCAGAGGGGTGTGACCTGACAATCAGGAAGCAGAGAGAAGGTTCCTCACAGGGGACAAAATATCTGCTCCAAAGGAGTGTGGTGGCCCGCCTCTTTCAGCCACTCCCTAGCTGCCTGTAGTCACCACCCAGTTAGCCCCACTGGTGGGTTAGCACACTGACTAGTTGAAGGCTCTCCTAACCCAATCATTTCACCTCCTGATGGAAATATCAGGGGTCCTGGGCCCCCCAGGAGCCGAAATAAACACTCAGAGACAGCTCTGTCCGCAAGGCAAGAATTTACTTCTAGTGCAGAAGGGCGCCCAGCAATCAGAACCCAAAGCCAGTGGCTGAGCAGGTGGCCTCACGGCCTTCGTCCCCGCCGTGGGTCTTGGCTGGGGCCCAATGGTCAGGTGGCCGCACAATCTTTGGCACAAACAGCTGAGGAAAAGGGCTCTTAGCAGCTGCTCCCTGGTCAGGCTGACTGCGCTGCCCCCAGAGGGTCATCTGAAGAGGTGTCCTTCAACTGCCCAGCTCCTTTGCTGTCCCTTGATCCTAGCTGGGGAAGCCTCTTGGGTGGAATGCCTTTTGGCGCAGACACAATCACTGAGGACGCGGAGGCTGGAGGCAGAGACTCTAGAAAGGCAGGCAGCCGTGTAAGCCATGGCAGTCGGGCGGCCAGGGGGAATCGGAGTTGCCAGTGGGACAAAAACGGCCCGGGGCTTGCTGGCCCTCTGAAGGGACACCCTCGCTGCACACAGGCCCAAAGAGCAGCCACCATGACTCCAACCTCTTTAAAGGAGCTCAGTGTCTTTGCAGAAGTGTGCAGATCACACGGAAGCAAGTGATTTAAGGAAAAGGAACCTCGAGTCTGGTGAGTCGGCCAGCAACCGCCTCCCCGCCCCGCCCCACAGCGCAGCTCCACGGGCCGCAGGACAGGATCAGTGACACCCAGACACCACTCCCCACCTGCTCCGGCTCCAAACTCCCCAGGCAGAAACAAGAGGGACTGAGCTCCGCGCAGGATGAACACGGGAATTGTGACACAGGTCAACACCCTCCAGCCACCCTCGGGCCACACGCTTGACTAGAGAGGCTCAGTCCAAAGTCTATAGGACCTGAGAAGCTCGTGTGTCCCTTTAGAGTGAAAACACAAATGAGGCCTTTCCAAGGCGCCAACTTTGAGTTGTGTTTGCAGTGATGGCACCGAAAGGCTGCTCTGGATCTTTCTTTCTGTTGATTAATTCACGTTCATTCCCTTTTGGGGGCACAAATGAAGTAGTTCATGAAGACTTAAGTGGCTATGAAGACCATACATCTCTGAGAATGTCTTAAAGAAAGGTCACCAGATCACGTCAATGTTCATGGCAGCTCAATTCACAATAGCCAACTATGGAACCAACTCAGGTGCCCTTTAACAGATGAATGAATAAAGAAAATATGGTACCTATATACAATGGAATATTACTCAGCCATAAAGAAGAATGAAATGATGGCATTTGCCAGTAAATGGATGGAACTGGAGAATATCATGCTAAGTGAAATAAGCCAGTCCCAAAAAAACAAAGGCCAAATGTTCTCTCTGATCTGTGGAGGCTGATTCACAATGAGGGGGATGGGTGGGTGAAAGAAGAATAGAAATTCACTGGATTAGACAAAGAGGAATGAAGGGAAGGGAGGAGGGATGGGAATAGGAAAGACAGTAGAATGAACTGTCTTTTCCTATATGAATACATATACGAAGCCCCACATCATGTGGCTCACAAGAATGGAAAGTTATCCTCCATGTCTGTATGATATGTCAAAACACTCTCTAGTGTCATGTGTATCTAAAAAGAACAAATAAAAAATACTGAAAGGAAGGTGACCTGAACCTTTGAGCTCTGAACAGCGGTCGGCAACTGCTGAACCTCACACCTGCGATTTCCCGAGCTCCTGGGTGGGAGCTGGCTCGGCCTGGCCAGCCCTCATGCACTCGGTGGTCAGATGGAGAGAGGGAGGAAAAGAAAAGTCCGTTCTCATTCACGTCCATCTGATTCGCAGTTGTTGGCCCGTGGGGAGGGGTTGGCTTAGTTCTTTCTTCTAACTTCAGGTTTCTCCAGGGTCGCTGCCTTCAGATGTCTTTAATGACTCGTCACCTCTCAGTCACCAGGGCTCCAGCTGCTGCAGACTCCGACATCCCGCGAGGGAAGGCAGGGCTGGGCCAGGGTGGGCAGCCGTCACCGGGGCTGTGCTGCACGTTCTTGTCCAGTCCCTTTCAAAAGAGCAAGCAGAGGTGACCCTCTTGGATAAACAGGAGCCCGATTTCTCTCTCCGTCTTGAAGATGTTCCTCCCAAACGAATAATAAACCCAAAGAGAACTGGCTGTTGTGTTAAGTGCAGGCTTTGGCCACAGCTGGTGGAGCAGCCCCACTTGGGGGAGGTAAAGCATTCCGGTTGCTCCTCATTTCCCCTCCTACCTGTATGATCTTCTGGGGAATATTTATTACAGATTAAGAGAACCATGAACATCAGCAAGCTCCGATTTTCTGAGAAACTCCTGCCTTGATCACAGAGTTCTGTTCTCGGGGACACTAAGCCGAAGTGGACTAAGGAAAATCAGTAGAAGGAGCTGAAAGATGGTTCCAGAACAACCCGGTCCCAGTGTACGAGAACCAGCTCCAACTGCCAGGAGACCCGAGATGGGCAGGCAGATCCAGGATGGCACAGAGTGCCATTTATCGGCCACTTAATGACTGAAGTGTGGTTCTTGGGTGGCAGCGACACCAAGTGGGTTCCGCAAGTCGAGTCAGAAGGAGAGCTGTGCATCCTGGGAAGGACAAAAGTAGCTCTATCCCGGACGGAAGGGAGCTGGTTTCTCTCAAGCTGATATCCGAGGGCTGGGCCCATTGCTGGCGCCAGCGTTCAGTTGTAAAGCTCCACATACCTCTCCTGGTTTGATCTATTCGTAGCATGCTAAGAAACTGTGCAGGAAGACTGGCGGGGACAAGGGTGGTGGTGTTATGGACCAGGCTATATGAGCAATGACCCAACAGACTCCATTTTGCCCTAGACTCCAGGTAATGTGAGAAACGCTTCTCCCATGGGAATACCCCCTCCGTACCCATCAATAGGTGCTTAGCATAGAAGGTTAGGGGCACAAGATGGCAATTCTTATACGATGTAAAATTGTTGTCTCTTTGGTTCCCATTTTCCTTGGACAATGAACCCTGTCAGAGAATGACTATCTAGATGTTAGTAACCATTCTTTAACTTGTACTCAACTAGGGTCGTTTTGACCCACTTCTCCTTCTGCTTATGATTTGAGATCTCATGCTGTTTGTGGTCTTGAATCATAGCAACAGCTGCTTATGACTCATGTACTGGCATGTGTTACTTATGGTATAAAAGGTGCACTCAAACCGCTGGAGGGGGTCGGAGACGTAGACTTGCAGCCTGCCCCTGGTGGATCCGATCACCAGCTGGCGATAAAGATGGTTCGTCTTCTGCTTTAAGTTTGACTCAGTGATTTATTACAATCTTCGCCATAACTGTGGTGACGACTCAAGATGGCCACAGTCACGTCAGTTGAATCCACATAGGCGTCAGGAAGGGCCTTATCATTATAGGGCACACATCACTTTGTATATTACCCCACGATTTTTTGATTGAACCCAGGAGAGCTTTACCACTGAGCTACATCCCTGGTCCTATTTATGTATTTATTTTTAAGAGAGGGTCTCACTAAGTTGCCCAGGCTCATCTCGAATCTGAGATCCTCCTGCCTCAGCCTCCTGAACTGCTGGGATTACAGGTGTGCACCACCACTCCTGGCCACCTCACACATTTCCCCAACAATTTTCATTTTGTAGTCATGTATAACATATGTCCACCCAACTTTGGTACAGGTGAATATAGGTAGATTTATTAGCATTATCAATACAGACTCATGGACTCTTAATTTTTTTTAACACATAACTGTTCTTAATATATCTGTATCTCTATCTCTATATTTTTACTGAGATGTTAAAATTACCCTAGATATAATTATATGACAGAAATGGACTAGAAACCATGAGTTTATAGCTCTAATTCATACCAACCCTGCAGGGGGCTTCGTTGTTTCTCTCTTCCATACTTCTGTCCCCTTCTCTGCTCAGGTCTACAAGACACATAAATAACATGGTGTCTGCTACACTCGTTGCAGGAAAAGCAGACCTGAAAGGAGGGCACCAAGATCTTCCTGCAGCGTCTTACTCTTGGGGATGAATAGTCCCAGTCCTGCACTTAGATAATGAGACTCTTTCCTCCTCCTCCTCCTCCTCCTCCTCCTCCTCCTCCTCCTCTTCCTCCTCCTCCTCCTCATTCTTCTTCTTTAAATTTGTTCTTTTTAGTTATACATGACAGTAGAATGCATTTTAAAATATTATACAGACCTGTTTGAGTTTTTCTTTTTATTCTGTTTCAGGACTTTTATTGTCTTGTTAATTTAACTGCTCTTTTTAATATATTGAATATTAACATTATTCCAAAAGTGTACATTGCATCAATAGATCCACAAGAGAAGTGCCGTTCCCTCCCCACTGCATCCTCTCTGGTCTAGTCCCCTTCCCCAGTCCACTTTAGGGAATCATTTAATGACTTTCTGGTTTATTTTTCCTGTATTTCTTTATGTAAGGACAAGAGTAAAGATTCATGATTTCTTTTTCTTCCAGACACTTTGTAGATATCCTCCTTGGTTTGCTTGTTTGTTTTTACAGCTACGTAGTACTCCCATTGAACTAATTTCCTATGTTTGGGCCTTTAAGTAATTTCCCATTATTTTGTAATTACAAAGAATGCTCCAATTAATAACTTTGTAGATATCATTTTAAAAATTGTCAGTGCTGTGTCTTTAGGCTAATAATTCTTAGAAGTGGGATTTCTGAATGGAAGGTGAATATATCTGTATTAAAAAAATACATTGGGTTTAACAGTGGCCCCTAAAAGATATTCTGAGAACTAACACTGGGGACCTGTGAATGTGACCTTATTTAGAAAAAAGGCCTTTGTAGGTGCAAATAAGTTAAGGGTCACAAGAGGAGATCCTCTTGGACTTAGGAAGGGGAGGGCCTTCTCTAAAGACAGGTGTTCTCCGCAGAGGTAGGCAGAGGGAGCTTGGAAGTACAGAGGGATTCTGGGGAAACCTCGTGAGGACAGAGGCAGAGACGGGAGTGATGGGCCCACCAGCCCTGGAGCACTGAGGACTGCCGACAGCACCCAGGGGCTAGCCGGAGGCTGGATCGCATGCTCTCAGAGCCTTGGCAGGATCGAACTGGGCAACACCTGGCCCATGGACTCTGCCCTCCAGAACTGGGCATGGATTTATTTCTGCTGTCGGAAGCTGCCCTGCTGGTGGTAATTTGTTTCATCAGGTCTTAGGAAACACATGCGTTGTATGTTGCCCAGTCCCCTCCCACGGGGCCTTCTGCCTCCTCCAGCTGTGCATGGGAAGGGCAGTGTCTATGCAGTTGATGCGGGTGGGGGGCTTGGGGGGTGGTCCATCCAGCTCCCACACCTTTGCCAACTCAGCGGAGAGGAAACAGTATTTTACAATAGTTTTAGTTTGTGTTTTTTTAAATTTTAAGTGAAGTTGAACATATTTCTCATGTTTAATCAGTGTATCTATGTATGTCTGCTCCTGTATTTTGTTTGTTTTTATGTAAGATTTAAAAATTCTTGTCCTTGCCAGTTGCAGTGGCACATGCCTGTAATCCCAGCGGCTCGGGAGGCTGAGACAGGAGGATCTCGAGTTCAAAGCCAGCCTCAACAATAGCAAGGCACTAAGCAGCTCAGTGAGACCCTGTCTCTAAATAAAATACAAAATAGGGCTGGGGATGTGGCTCAGGGGTTGAGCGTCCCTGAGTTTGATCCCTGGTACAAAAAAAAAAAAAATTGTCCTTAATTTTGAAAGAGGTTCCTTATGATTTGTTATATTAGCTCCTATGGATGACACAATTTATAATTTGTAAACATTTCTTTGATGTTTCCATTTGTCTTGGGACTTGCTTATGCAATTCTCTTCTGTAGTCAAGTTTATCAGCCTCTAATTTCTTGTGGATCTAAAGGTGAGGTTAGAAAGCCTTGTCCTCCTCCTAAACGATGAGGAATTTACCCATTTTTCCTCTGGCACAAGGAATGGTTCAGATTTTACCTTTTTCTGTTTTCTCCAATGGCCATCCAGCTGTCCCAATATTACTTTTTAAAAAGCTTTTCTTTCTCAAATTCAAAGTTCCCATTTAACCTGGGTCTGTTTCCAGACTTTCTCACCTATTTCGCTGGTCTGCCTATCTATCTATTCATGTACCAGTACCCTGGTTTAATTAAGGAATCTGTGCCATATGCCATGGTATCTGTTAAGACGGGCCTCCCTCTCCCCACGGTCCACCCCTATGGCTTTTCCAGTGTTTTCCTGGCTATTCTTGCGTGTTTACTTTTCTACATAGAGTTTAGAATCATCTTGTCTAACTTCAAGAAAAAGCATTTTTTTTTTTTTTAAAGTACTGGGGTTGGAACCCAGAGCATCATGCATGCTAGGCAAGTGCTGTACCACAGAGCTACCTCCCCAGCCCAATTGTTGGCATTTTTATTGAAATCCTAACAAACTGACAAATTAGATTAGGGAAAGCTGATATGCAGATGATGTTGAGTAATCTTATTCCAGATTTGTGGAATAAAAAATACAAATAAAATAAAAAATAAAAAATAGTTCGAGACTACTTTTTTAAAGAGTGTTTTATAATTTTCTCAGTGTAGATCTTGCACATTTCTTCTGACATTTATTCCTACATGTTCATCTCTGTTGCTGTCGGGGTTTCTCTTCCACTGTGCTTTCTAACTGGCTGTTATTTGTGCATGTCCTGATATCTGTCCTGATATCTTGCTGCATTCTTTTAGTGTTTGAGTTTGTGCTGTTGATTTGTATGTTCATCTTTCTATGCAGACTTGAGTGTCTAGTTAGTTATGCAGGTATATTGCCATGCCCTATGCAAAGAGAGAGAGAATGGTGTTTTGTTTTTTCCCAATTCTTATGTCTCTGCTTTTGTGCAATTGAATTGTTTAATACCCACAGTACAATGTGAGATGGTACTGGGTATAATGAATAGTTTTGTCTTAATTTTAACTTTAGTGAGAATGCATTTAGTATTTTTTTATTTAAGT